CATTACATACACACGATTCAGATAATATCTGAATGGAGGAAGATGTAGAATAAATTGTAAATACATATGGGAAGACTTGCAACTCCAGAAAATCTGTTTCTGAATGAGATTTTTATTCATTATCAAAGGAAATGTGAACCAGAGGATGTGCTTATAGTGGGGTGACTTCTTTATTTGTGATATCTTTATGCATGGCATCGAGAATGGATCTGGGAATAGAAGGTGACTTTACATCCATAGGTAAATGAAATCAAGTATTTTTTAAAAGTTAATTAGCACGTGAATCAGTGTTTCAGAATGAAAAACTTCTTAAGAGAGATGCTTACTGAATTAAAGTTTACAGTTACATTGCACATAGAGATTCTTAGGGAGGAAAAATAGTAATTCACATTAAATCCTGCTTTATCATGACTATGTTGACTGATACTAGTTTAGAACTGGCTCATATATACCTACATTATTCTGTATCTGTACTATCACACTATATCCTAAAACAACAACAACAACAACAACAACAAAAACCATTTTCTGGCAAGCAAAAAATCTTTTACAAAAGAAGTTTGAAACAGTTCAATAAGGAATTACACTATGCCTTTTTCATTGAGCAATGAAAGGTATTGTAGGAGAAATGAAAAGAGGTCACCTGGCATTTAATATATACATTATGAAGTCCCATCTTTTTCTAGTTGTCATTAACAGTAAGGCTTCTTAGATCTTTCTAAAACATGAACTTTTATACAAACGTAATCTTCAGTAGAGCATATTTAATATATGTAATTAAATAGTTCCTGGCCTTGACCATTCGGAAAATAATTCCCCATCTTATTAATATTTTGAAATATTTTTCTTTGGTACTTTTCATCGGCATGAAAAGTGAAACACAAACTTTGCAAACCAACAACGCCAGTCAAATCCTATGTTGGTGAGTAGAGATACTCCTGGAATTTAGTCTTTAATGTGCTAGATCACCACCACTACCTGCCATGCTCTCTGCTCTGCTGCTGGTTCCAGGATTGCTGCTAAGATTTACCATCTATGTTTCATGTGGGATGAATGAGTAAACACTTCTTAGACTGCAGATGGGCCAATTCTATAACCCAGTGATAATGTTCACTTGGTGTATGGGAATCTAAGGCCAAAATTGGTGCTTCAATTTTTATATATATGATTTATATATATACGGGGAAGAAAAATTCCCCAACCCTGAACACCCTGAAAAGAAGCCCCAAAGCAGCGGGAAGCACTGGTCTGTGGGACAAGCAGTTGGTGCAGGCAGGGAATTCTCCTGAGCCGTGGGAGATTCCAAGTCATATTCCCATTCTGTCTCCTAGATTAATGACTTGAAGGGCAATCTCAAACTAAACTTAGTAAGTCCTTTTTTTTTTTCTTATGACAGGGAATACCATCTTATAGAAGTTTCAGGACAAATGAATCAACATTTTTAAACAAAAAACAGACAACATGATTGGAAAATTCTAATTTTTCCTCTCTGTATGAGATAATATGTTTCTGGCAGTTTATGTTTTCAAAAGATCAATACAATTTTTCTAAACGGTGCTCCTGTGTATCTTTAGTGATCTTGGTGCTGCTTAAATAATTCCAGAAATTACCCATGTGGCTTATATCAGAATTAGTGTGGCCAGCAGGACTAGGGCAGTGGTCATCCCCCTGTGCTCAGCAACAGTGAGGCTGCACCTTGAACACTGTGTTCAGTTTTGGGCCCCTCAAGGAAAGACATTGAGGCACTGGAGTGTGTCCAGAGGAGAGCAACAAAGCTGATGAAGGGTCTGGAGCAGCTGAGGGAACTGGGGTTCTTTATCCTGGAGAAGAGGAGGCTGAGGGGAGACCTTATCACCATCTACAGATGCCTGAAAGGAGGGTGTAGCGAGGTGGAGGTTGGTCTCTTCTCCCAAGTAACAAGGGATAGGATGAGAGAAAATGGCCTCAAGTTGTGCCGGGTGAGGTTTAGTTTGCATATTAGGAAAAATTTCTTCACTGAAAGGGTTGTCAAACATTGGAATAGGCTGCTCAGGGATGTGATTGAGTCCCCATTCCTGGAGGTATTTAAAAGACATCTAGATGTGGTGCCTAGGGACACAGTTTAGTGAGACTTAGCAGTGTTAGGTGTGCAGTTGGACTCAATGATCTTAAAGGTCTTTTCCAGCCTAAATTATTCGATGATTCTATGATTTCATGATTCTATGGCTAGTACCTACAGTATGAAAAAATCCAACGTGGAAGGAACACAGATTTGAGAACTCATTGATGTAAACCATTTTATCAGATCTCAAAAAGAACTTAAAAATCCCTCAAACATAAGAACTTAGTTATAAAATTATATTTCAGTTACCAATAGACAAATGAAAGATTGTTCCACAATACATAGGAAAAAAAGCATTCCCAGTCACGTTGTAATTAAATACATTTTAGCATTATATTGTTATTCTGAAAATTGGTTGCCCCATGATTTCTTCAAGCTGTCAAGAATGAAAGAAGAATATTTCAAATATTGCAGATAACCTATGTCAGATACCTGTGTTATGTGATATTTGTGTCTCATCACATCTAGTAGCATGGTGTGGTGACATTTTCTGCATTCTCATTACACTTCTGTTGTTCTTTCTGAAGTACACTGAACCAGAGTCACTTCAGGAAGCACATTAGAGAGAAAATCCTTGCAATATGTTACTGTTATATAAATTGATGATTTGGAAGGGGATAGTAATTTTGGGACACATCTACTTCTTTCACACAAAGTACTTTAAATATGGATTACAGTCTAAATAATTGCACATACAGTTTTTGTCTACAAGCACTACATATGTGTGGTCACATTGATTTTGTTATTTCTAAATTCATAGGAATGATATGTGGTAGTTGCTTTTATATTTGGCATACAGTGATCATATTTTGTACCAAACAATTAGAAGACTACCTCACTGGGGGAATTACGATCAAAATTTCTTCTGTTATGTACTTTTAAACGTGTGTGTAGGTGGATTTATTGTGTATGAATAATTATTTCTCATTATTTTTTTACGTGAATTAAGAATAGTTTAAGGACACTTTATGGTTGGAGTGCTCGCTTTACCTAAGTATGAAATTAAGTTTATTTGGGTAGCACTTGAGAAAGTATTCAACCATCATTGAGTTAAAACTAATTTGGAAAATTATTTAAAAAAAAGGGCAAAACTTGGATGGTAACTGAGATTTAGAGCCTGTATCTAATATTTCTCAAAGAAATTGATAGATTAGAGAACATCTGTATTGCATTGACGGTGATATTTTACCTAGTTAATTATGTACTGAATACATATAATTGAATGCACTCATATACTACATACACAATAACTTGTGTACAACGGCATTGAAGATGCAGGCTTTGTGTGGAGATGGAGCCTCAGCCGCTGCTTTTCACATTTTGACTCATTAACCACTGTCACTGCATATATAGTGGCAGTGTTTCCAGAAAATTTCAATAGAAAGTCTGTATTCTGTCTGCATCAAGAAAACAAGCAAACCATTGCATAGAACTCAAAACTGTATCTATTAACAAATCTTAAGTACCTTAGTAACAATTAACAACATTCTTACAATCATGGACTGAGATTTACTTGTAACCTTGAATTTTTAGGGATATAGGGACATTTAAAATAGTAGAATAATAGAATAAGTGGGCATAATAAAATAATTATTTTAGCTAAGTATGATGTCTCTGTGACATATTCAGACTTCATACACAAACTCATAGATAAACGAGTTAATAAAGTATGCTGTTCTTTTTCGGTATGGCTCGAAAACACTTCTGAATAAAGACAACTGAGGAAAAATGGTGAGAGTGGTGACTTTGACCATTTTATTTGTTTAATAGCCATATTTAATTTCTAGACTAAATTACATATTGAGTTTCCTATACAAGTTTCAGTCTTTATCAAGTTACCTTTTACATTACAGAGGGCTATTTCCTACAGAGGTAATCACAGTATAATGAAACTTTGGGTGCAAGGATAGCTTGGTGTCATATCTTTTAGTCAGAAAAGTATTGCCCAAGGAGAGGCGTGGGGAAAACTATGCTTATTTCCTCTTGCTCCCATAAGCACAGGTTATGGCATGTATGGACATGTGTGTGTATGTGTGTGTGTGTCTGTGGGTGCATATATACACCTCAAAAGTATTTTGAGAAAGCATATTGAATGCAAATTAAAATGTATTCTTTACTAAATCTTCTAATAAATAAGTGTGAATTCTTTATCATGGTAAGTAACTGTTTTCAGTGAATTTCTGTGTTTTTCTAAAGAGCATGAAATGTGGTATAGTATGAACTAAGTATATTTTTGGACCAGTTTCTTGTCTGGGATTAACTCAATTCTGTTTCATCGTTGTTTACAGTCTATTGTTTTAAATATCTTTTTGCTCATATGGGAAGCAAGATTAAATTTTAAGAAGGTCTTTATGGTTTGTCTTGGTCTATTCAAGTTGTGTAAGACTCAATGATAATTTTATTTTCATTGGTTCAATCTGAAATTCAGACTGTGGTTAATTCTTAATAAAACACTGATGAGGATTAATAAAATGTTAAAACATTGAAGATGGTGACTGAAGGCATTATTTCTTCAAGGTTACAGAACAAGATGAAATAAATTGCATTTCTTTTATAGAAACCATAATTTGGTAATTTTTAATATACTTTTTTGATTTATATTATTCTTTTTTAGTAGCACATTAATTTTGTTTTTTCAAAAATCACTTTTAACTGAAGTAACTGCATTGTCACAGAAAATGATACATTTTTTCAAATATTTTCAATTTGTTCCTCTTGACATTTTATGTTTATGTGCAGTTTGCATCTTTTTTGTTTTTCAATTTCAAATGTAACAGATTTTGACATTTTTGTTACATTTTTCTTTTTTTTTTGTACTAGTGGTTTTTTTTATTTTTGAGAACCTGCTGTTTTTGAATTCTCTTTTTTCCCTTTATTCTCCTCCTCACTATGATCCCAGGAGCCAACACAAAGAAAAGCGCAGATGATATAACCAGTAATGATCGTGGTGAAGATGAAGGTATTTTTTGTTTTTTCAAAGCTCAACCCTGATGCATGAACATAAACTTTTTAATTTTTATTATAATAATAGTTATCGTTATTGCTGTTATTTCAAAGTGGTTTTTAGTCCCTTATTTGCAGAACCACACTTCAGTGTGCTTCTTTATTTTCTTCTTTAGAAATTCCTTTCATTGTTTTTCTTCTTAAAATCCAAATTAGCATATAGATGACTGCAGTTCCCTTGTGACATAGGTGTAATGGTTATTCCTAAACATGTGTGAAGTGAGTAACAAATATCATTTGAAACCACATACTTTTTCCCCCCTATTCTTTCTTAGGTTGAGAAAATGGAATTTAAAAACATGCATGTGCTCTTTTCCCTCCTACACATTTTGTAAACTCACCTGTTTTCATGAAAAACCTCCCATATATCCTTCCTTTCACTTTCACTGTTTTCCCAGCGCACATACTGTACATTGATGCAGTTGAAGTGTGCTTTGTCTTTTCTATTTTCATTTACTTTTTTTTTTTTTTTCCCCCTCACAGGATGTGGTTTATTTCAGGACACAAAAATAAAGGAAGCTGTTGATGTTGCTTTGTTGTTTTTTCCTATAATCAGCTAGCCTCTGAGATACATTTGTTCTGACTCTGACCATATTCCCACTGAAATCAATGACAATCATTTTCATTGACTTATTTCAGAGTTGGATTGGATTCCCTGAAAGGAAATGTTAAAGTTCACAGTGAAGTACCCCAAAAAAGTTTTACAAGGAAATACTTTTTTCTTGCCTTGGCACAAAAGCTATTTAGGATGCACCAAAATAGAAAGAAGTAATGAAATCTTCCTCTATTCTCACCTTTCCTTTTCATTAAAGTTACATTGACAGTTTATTTGACTTATATACTTACCAAATGCTTTTTCTGGAGCAATGTGTTTCTTATTCCTCTCATGCTTGGCCAATCCAAAGTGTTATTCCATGTCTTTTTTCCTGTTTTCTTCTATCTGACATCAGTTCAAATAACTGAAACATTGGTCCTTTTTGTTCCCCTTAATATCACACATACTGAAGTGAGGACACTATCTCCTGTTTTCCTGGGACTTCAGCTCAATTGTAGCTACTCTATCCATATATAAAATACTGTAATAAAAATCTCTGGTCTTTGATTCACACTGGTTGCCCTCTACTGTACCACCTTCATTGCTGAATTACACTATTTCTTGTAACACAAAAATGCTGTGCAGAATACTCCAAAATTACAGTTATTTTCTGAATATTACCTTCCTATTTCTGTGCAATGTATAATTTTTAAATTTAAGGCAACATGATTTCCAAATCCTGTAGTTAATTTTAAAGCAAAAGATAAGTTACAAGCAAAACCAAAATTTCTTTAAAAACTTAAGATAGATATTGGATTACGAATACATTATTATTCAAACTGTTAAACATTTTAAGACATTAAGGTTTCATGATTAACAAGGGCATCCACTTCAGGTCGTCAAGGGCATCCACTTTAGATTTAAGCACATAAAGCACAGAGCTCATTTCCTTTATGTTGAAGCTAATCATGTTCCCATTGAAGGGGGTGAGGAGATGTCCCATTGAGTTCAGCAGTGAAAGATTCAACCCTGAGGTAGAACTATGTAAGAAGGAAAGATTAAATACAACAAATTACGGCATGAGACTTTGGAGAGAGAGGGGAAAGGTAATTCAGTAACACAAATAATGGTGTTAAATAATTGTTGCTTTCAATTTTTGAGGGCTTAGCTGAGCCTTCACAGAAGAAACATTTTTCATGTACTTTGCTGAAAATGCTGAGAATAAAAAAAAATACATCCACTAGAATGTACCTCATTGCTTTATATAATCTGTTTAATGGCTGCATTACCCTTACAGTGAAAATAATTGAAAAGATATCATCACAAACCCTTTTATTCTGCTCCTCAAGTACAACACATAAAATACAACATGTGAAGTATGTATCTTTTTGTGTAATTAAGGCAGATTGTACAAGAAACCTTAAACTCTTGACAGCTAGACAGGTCTACATTGGAGCCTGAACATATGTTCCTTGCTCTCAGCTGACAATTTTTGATATTATGGCAGTGCATACACATAAGCAGAGTAAAAGTGGGCCATAAGAGTACGACCAGACCTTTAAAAACGCTCAAATTAGTTCCACATATACAAAATATTATATATGTGGTGCCTCATTGCTGATCACATTTTTGGTATCTTAAACCATTTCCTAACAAACCTGAGAAGAAGGAAGAGTTTTGGAAGGCTTTCAAACCCAGGTCCCCCACCTCTAGGTATTGAGCTCAACTTTTGCTTCCTCCACTTCCCTTTTCCACTGTTCAATAGATGCCTACCCTACTCAAAGGGGAACACAGCTTTTTTTTTTTTTTTTTTTTTTTTTTTCTTGTTTGATAAGTAAGCGACTGT